CGATCTCCTCCTCCAACTTTCCATCACTAGTAAATATAGTTCCGAGGTACTTGAACTTCTCCACCTGCTATGGAGGGAATTTTTTAATCATAAATTGTCTTAGTGCCATTTGTTTATTCAGAGGTAACTTCCCATTGCATGGGGAGATGTTTGAGATGTTTGAATGAAAAAAAAATCAATTGAGTACCATGTCGAGCAGATTCTCAATTGGTTCTGAAAATATTGACTCGCAATCAGAATGCGCAACTAAGCTTTGGTTAGAATGCAGATGATAGTGACTTTTCAAAGGTAAGTGGGTGAATAAACCGAGTTGGGCCTGACGGTACCTAGATGTTAGTGGAAAAAGGAGTCGGACGATGGGTGACGAACGACATTTCTCATCGTAGAGCAAATAACATCCTGTTCATCGTTTGGATAACCATGACCTAGCCAGCATAAAGATTTCCAAATTATTTAGCATCTGCCACCATCTTTTCAAACACAGGATGCTTTTACTATAACGATTATAAAAATCAGTTGAAGTGGATATGGCTCATCCCGTAGGTCAGTTTTTTTCAGATCTTGAGAGTTTGAGTTGGAACACTTCAGAACTCAGGTTCATTTGAGAGTTTTAGACAAGGCTTTGAGCACCATAAGCCAAATATCTTAAGAAGTTTAGGCATAAAAAAAAATTCGTTGTGCTTTTTAATGTCTTGCTTCGTTTTCAATCATGGCCATGGTACGTCCAAAGCATTTGAATGCATCTGCGTAATGTTACAATGACTCTGAGTTCCAAGTGACACTGAGTTGGTTGCTAAAGGAGCACCTTTATCTGTTGGCTCGAACAGCATTTCATGGTCTAGGCAAGTATCATTAATGGCTGTGAGGAGAGGACTCATAGAATGAGCAACGAAACGTACAACAGCGCGCCATGGAATACCACTCCAAAAGTAGTTATTTATGATGACATCGCACTCACATAAGCGTTAACGATTTAATCTGTCTTTTATATTTGCTGCTCACCGTGCCTGACACCGGTTTCTGTTTTAGGAATCTACGTTCTGTCTGTCATAAGTATGAGATGCGGCGATTACTCATACAACGCCAGTGAATTTATTTGTTGCGACAACTATGAACTGTGTCAAAAAGACACTCAAAAAGTGAGGCTGAAACACAAATGCTGCGGCAAGCACTGCTATAGCGTAGGCAGTAGCATCTGCTGTGGCAACAGAGTAACGGATAAGTGTCATCCATATATGGCTGCCTGCTGTGGATACAGGTGCTACAAGTCAGACGAGGAAATTTGCTGCAACCTGAAGATCATCCCAAAATGTTCGGAACTGCATTCGGCTTGTTGTGGAGACGAATGTTACGACACAACAAGGATGTGCTGCACCCGAAGCATCATTCATCCGTGCTATCATTCATCGTATGTCTGATGCGGTCGTCATTAGCCTTTTTGATTACTTACAATATAAGATCCATTCACTGCACTTGACTTCGAAAAAATGCTGTAATTAATTCATGCTGTTCTATGTTTGCTTTATTATCAGTCGATTTCTTGTAAATTATAAACAGAAATTGTTTAGTTTATTTTGTGCTGAAGAGACAGAGAATGTTTTTCAAATTCATTTTTGGCTTTCCTTTATAACGATCACAACTTTACAAGTCCTAAATTCTACGATGTTAACCACACAAAATTATATATCTTCTACCACGTTTTCTCTGCACCTTGTTTAAAGTTAGATTTTTTTGTAGCATTGTGATATCATGCAACTCGCCAAAAAGCAAATAAAATATTTGACCAGCGACAGTTTGAGTAGGAAGGTGCTTTGTTTTGGTCATACTTGAGCGTGTGAGACTAATGCTACGACGTCTTATTTCGTGCTTTAGGGTTGCAATTCGGCCTTGACTCACCTGTGTAGGGTGTGTATACTGAAATCGTAAATGAACTAGAGCAATGCCGCTGAAATTCATCTGATTCTTCCGATAACCGTACAATTGACAGACAGCAGAAGTGTCAACCACATGCATTCTGTCAGTCCATCTCCTGGTTACAAAATTGGTAATTATGTCATTTCATTACCGCCAACATTATTCGGCTCGTTTCGCGAGGGACTGACGCCACCAGCAACACAAAGTGATTTATTATCCATATTGCAAAAGAGTCTGAAAAACTTGCTGAGAAAGTCAACATTTGCGAAATTTTATTTTTCCTCAATCTGACGCATGCTAAAGTGGCGACGTTAAGGGGGTAGGCGATTGTAAGGGTCAGACCGATGGTTCTGTCAGTATCAAGCCTTGTGACCGTGAATTTAGTCACGTAATTATGTTCGCTTTATAGTAACTAGTAACTAGTGTTATAACTCGCCTTCTGCTGTCACTTTTCCGACTTTATATTGCGCTATGACACTGTTCCGTTGCTCATGGTTGTTTAAGATTCCGTTTAAGCAGGCCAAGACTACATGGCAGTGCATGAATGGAAAACCGCACCACGATAACTTGCCATTGCTTCTGTTTTCAGTTATAGCCTGTTATGCTCTGCATCAGTGGAGAACTCTGTGCAAGGAAAATATTAAATTTTCTAACTTGCAAATTTATCAACAAAACTAACATATTTGCTAACTGATTATGATAATGGTTACTAATTCAGGGCTCAGTACAGTGGTCGCATGGTTGAATCTATAAAATTGGACTATGTTTATCTGTATTAGTTATTTAATTTACCTCCCTATGCTACACAACACTGAGAATATGCGATACGTTTGTAATTTTGTGAATTTCGAAGAAATGTACGTATTTGTTGCATGATCATACTGTGGTAGCTGCTTCTGGTCATTAAGCAGTGCTGTCCTGTGATTGTGAGTTTTGACTTGCAAACTTTGCAGCTGTTCCTGTGTTAATTATCAGATTAATATAGATATTGGTAAAAAATGGCTTACAAGAAAATACGGCGCCTTTGTCTAACGGGAAACTTAAAAAATGCCGCTTTTAATTCATGATTCTATTGCAAGCATCAAGTCAGAACGTGTGTTATTGTGAATTTGAATATATGAAATCGCGAAGTTTGTTTCTATCCAGTTTCTACCGTTTCATCGAGTAGGATGTACTGAAGGACATTCTCTGAGTGTGCTGCAAAAGTTCAGTGAAATTTTCTAATTTATGCAATTTTTTATTTGGCCATTTATTGCTGTGACCGCGCAAGATTATTAGCTCAGGGTAGTGTGGCTACTGGAGGTTTGTTGCTTGCATTGAGCATATGCATCGCATGTCCTTTGGCACACGACGAATGGGCAGTGAACCAGGTCTATCCAGTTCAACTATTACGTTTCTGGGAAAAATCTTTGGCGTTTATTTCGAAACACAGTGGAGAAATAGGGCGTAAAACTGACGCTCATTCTGACCGTTGTTATTCGTTCTTTTCTGTGTAATGTTTCAATCACTGCATCCCACAAAGGCTATATGTTGAGTTAAAATCTCTACTAGTTGTCACACTGCTATGTGAATGCTTAAATTTTTGCCCGTTTAACACATATTGCGCTACATGGAGTCTTTTAATTACGTGCAACATGACAAAATTAGTCAGAAAAGGGAAACATCATTTCACCTCATAATTGCATCTATTGCAACTCGCACTCAATGACCTGGCATAGTCTCATCAATAATTCATAAAATAAATGTTGAAGTCGCTTCTAATTCAAAATTTTCACTAACCATGGTGTCATTCTTTGCACTTCCAAGTTTGTGGTAATCTTCCTGACATGCTATTAGAGTTTCAGCTTTTTGAAGACTTTTATGTCGCGACTTTCCGCAGCTCCTTCTCTGACCAGTTTTGTCATGCGAGAGATTGCTATTTAGACTCGTTGAATAAAAACTTGTTTTTGGCCGTTACCATTTTCATAATACATGGATTCAATGTGCGTGAAAGAAACAATTCAATTGCAATTCATGCTGAAAAGTACCTTGTACCACCGAAATCACTTAAACCTTTGTCAACTCGAATCTGATGCGAAAGTTCCAGCTCAAACGTTGACATGATGTATATATTTTTGCAATTCTGTTACACGTGTTATCATCAGCACTGAGTTAATTGCATTCAGTAGGTTTGTGACAGAGTTTCTTGTAATTTCTTAACATCCGGTGATATGTGTTAAGCATAGTCGCATAAGAGCTTTAGAAAATAGATTAAATAAAGTCGATGATGAGATGCAGTCATATAACTTTAGTGACAGAATGCCGGAGAGAAAATCTGCCCCTCATGTCACGCAGAACTGTCCCTTGTGCAGTTACGAACATAGAATTAAATATGAAAAAAATTATACGTTCAGAAAAATTTTTAAAATCTTTTATTTAGCTGAAAATATTACGTAATCAAGGAGGCAAGGATCCATTGGTTGATGGAACTGACAGTTTTGTAATCATCCAGATATTAATTATTTGACGTGGCGTGCCAAGTTCGATTTCTCGTGATGCTGGATTCACAGGTGAATTCCATTTC